CCCCTTTCACGTCATCGGTGGTTCCAGCGTACATACAGCGACCATCTCAAAAGCGTGTTCACCGATTCCCAGGCCCGTCGGCGAACAAATCTTTTCCGAGCCGTTAGTCGTCGCGAACTTCGCTGGAATTAAGTGCGGATTTAATTTAATTAGAGAGCAGGGAGAAGAGCGCGGCAAGACTAGAACCCCGGGGGTCGGGGTGGAAATCATAGAGTCAGACGAAGTCACATCGAGCTTTCCGTTCCGCGAATTTTTCCACGAGCCGCGCGCGTGCCGCGCGTCCACCGCGACTATTGAATTCCGAGCTGTCGCAGGGTAACCGGGTTTTTTTTCGCCGGCGCGGTTCCTTAATCAAACGGAAATTACTCGCGCCGAGAGTTGTCACCGGATGCTCGAAAGCTTGCGAATCTGGCCAGCCGGGGGATTGTTCGAGGGAGGTGGGGCAGGGAAAAAAGTTTTCAATCGGAATGCGTTAAATCGAATCACGTTCGCCGCTGAAGTGGGTGCCGAGGGTCGCCGGCGCGCGGCCGACCGGGTTGTGTTTCCACCTGAGCACCCTTCATCATGAGCCGTCCACCTGGAAACAAAGTGACGACGCGAACTGCCGCCCCGAATCGATTATACGAATTCTCCTTCGCACTGTTTTCGGCTGTTCCCCGCTATTAGCGCGAATTGATTCCCGGAATTAGTTGGACGTTTTTCGGCCGGCCCGGTTCACGGCGGGGGACGCCGAGGGGGATGAATAATCGAAGTTTCGAGCGGCGATCCGGTGCCGCGGGCCGAGGGATGAAGGGGTAAGCTGTTCTTCGTTATTAACAGGTTGATCGGGATTGGTTTAAGCCGGAGACTTGTGATTTGTTTCGGCGAATATTCTCGCGCGGGTTGGCGCTGGTAATCTTTAGAGAGGGTGCTATAGGGTTGAATGGGAATGTTCCTCGATGTGTTGACTTGTGATGCTGAGGAACTATTGGGATAGGATGTAGTTCCTTTTTGTGGCTTATATAGAGCTAATGTTTATGTTGTTTTCTTAATCGATCGTGTGTTGATTAATTTTTGGGTGTCATTTTTCAGAATCTTTTTTATCTGTTGGAAAATTTGTAAGAAATGACGTTACCCATAAGACGGTCTTATAGATATTTTTAAAAAGTAGAGACATTTTAATTATATTACTATGATTGTTGTAATTATTCTCTATTTATATTTTTGTTTCTATTGGAACCTGGTGGTTAGTTTGCTAAGTGTGTTACGGTGAAAAGTTGATTTTTGAAACTGGATAAAGAATTAAATTTAGTATCCTTTCATTTTAAATATTCATAAGTGCGATTTATTTTTGTTTCTTTTATTTATTCTCGTAAATTTCAACCTATTTCATTTGAATTTTCAATTATTACTACTTTGTATGTAATCCATATTTTTCTGTGCCTCCTTTTATGTTAATTTTACGATCTTTCCCTCGGAACTTTTTATATGTAAACATATTTTTCGTGTACGTACAATAAAAATGCTTGTGTTATTGTTGTTATAAATATTTTGATGGTCCATTATTTTATACACCTTTTAATAGTTCAGAGGTAAAAGTTCGTTTCAAGAAAATCCCGTGCACATGGTAGCGAATAATCAGTATTGATTGGCATATGAAAGACGACGGAATTTGTTTCTTTTTATTTCATTTTTATATTATCCTCACTTCCTCGTTGAACAATGAACTCGGATTTCGTGTCATAAAAAATTCGAATACACGATTAAGTTTTTATAGACTTTGAGTGGATGCGTATGAATGAAGAGAAATTGTACAGCGATCAACAGTATTACTTTCCACGACTTTTTCTTCCAGAAAATGCAACAATTCAAAAAGGCTCAATACTTTTTAACAGTACTGCATCTAAAAAATACATCAAAGTTTATAAACATATAAAAGCAAAAGTATAAATCATTTATCCGACGTGGCAATCACAGTAAAATTGAAAATCTTCTATGTCAGAATTTACTTATTTATTAATATTTTATATTTTATATTTTATATTTTATAATGTATTTATTGAGAGTATTTATTGCATGTGAAAGCAATATTCAAATAAAATGTATACCATCGAAGCTACAATGTCCCACTTTAAATCGAAAACTAAATTGTAGGTATTAATGGAGGAACGAAAATAATATGAAAAAAGTTATAAAGTCGAAAAACGTAGATTTAAACGCAAATATGTAAATGAAGATATTTAGCTTTAATAACTGCTCTTTGATTCTTCATTTAATCATATCATCATTAAGTGATATACAATTGCGTTTCGTAAATATAAAAATATTTCAGCTAATTACTCTAAAATCTTCGTAGCTCGTAGCCGCTAATGAAATATTATTCAAAAGGAGAAAATATTATATTTCACGAAGAATCAGACGAACATTTTTTTTCATTATATTTGGCAATCTTTGATCTCATGCCCCTGGGATTGTGCATTCAATGAAAATTCATTTGTCTAAATCGAAACGCAATGAAAAAAACTGATTCACATCGTAACACAGCGGCCCCTGCCACCGTTCGCTTGCGGTAGATTAATTTCTGCAATTTTTCGAAAACAGCATTGTTTGTTTAACAATGGCACCGGCTCCGGTTTTGTTTGACTATCCCTCGCAGTTCAATGTACTCCGTTTTCAATGCAATCGGGAATGGTAACGGGATATACTCTATAAAATTTGTATGGCTTCAGGTATCGCAGCATTAAAACAATAATAACAAAATTTCAAATGCCGCAGCATTAATAATAATCGTAAAAAGAAAGGAAAAAAATATTTTAACGTTCTCCGGCGCCATTTGAAGCGGTAATAAAATATATTCCCTGGGATTTCTATAGGTAGATTATCACGGTATTAAACGATAATATTAAAGTTTCCAATTTTGCGATATTAATAACAATCACACGAAAAGAAGAAAAAAAGACTTCCAATGACGCCAAGCAGAAGTGTGTCTCATTCAATGCAGTCGTTTTTGCATTATAAACGATAAAAGAATGTATTCAATAAAATTTATACAAATTCCGATTATCACACCATTAAACAGTAAGAAAACGCAACAGTGTTAATACTTGGGTTTTCGATCATTTTTAACTATTATAATTATTGCACAATATAAATGTTATCTAGATTATCTGAGCTTTTAATAAATAATAATACTCGCATTAAATACTCAAAACGAAAGTCACCGTGAACGTATAAAATACGAACACGACTCAATAAGAAAATCGTTACCCGAGCGATAAAGAAAATACAATATGTTAAATACATGAATATATATCGATTCCTATACACTCTTCTAACAACACGAAAGTGCAGCGGAAGAGAAAAAAAGCTATAAATTGTCCGAAGCAGGGCGCACGTCAATCACACAAAGACATTGATTTCCCGGAGTTGTTTGTTTAATCGCAATCGTCTCTCGACGAATCAATTTTCGGCCCGCGTTTGATACGTACCGGCGATAGCCGACTTGTTGGTTTTTAATTTCATGTTGAAAGATGCGATTCGCTCTTTGACTTCTAATTGAATGAAACGAAAAACTGATTGGTCTTTGAGCGGCACGGCCGGCGTACAGTCGCCGTCGGATCTTTCCGGCAGCGATGGAAGAAAAACGGGAACTTTGAGACGGAAAATTACGGTCCATTTAACTTTACATGCTTGCGCATAAAATAGCGGGCTCTCGACTTCGATCAAAGTGAAACGTCCGGGCGTCTCTGTCGGAGAAGAAATTCGAATGAATGTAGGCGCCGCTTCGGACAAATTGGACTAATCTTCGGTAATGAGGGTTATTTCATAATTAAATATACTTAGGAACGAATATACACGTGCAAATGATCGAAAGAATGTAAATGTCTAGATAAATGTGTAATATTGTACGAATGTAATAGAAATGTTATTATTAGATAATAATATAAATAATATGAAATTTTTTCAATTGTAACTGCGAATTTGATTTTTCGTAACTGTTCATTCTTGCTAATATGAATGTTTATGATAATGTAACTATCTAAATTATTTCAATTCGGGTGTGAGAGATTTATTTGTAAGAATGAAGATTAAGTTTATAGTAAGTTTACAGAATAATTATTTATAATGACTGTACAGGCTACTGAAGGAGTAAGCTCAAAGCTCTATTACATCCATTACAAGCCTCCGCCAACTGTAAGTGCATTCAGGATCTTGCGTAACTATATACAAAGTTTCGGAATATCGGAAATCAGCCGTCTGCTAGACGAAGGAAATTTCTTCGGAAAGGTAAAGTTCATTCTATGAATTTAGAATTGGAAAGAAAAGCGGCTGAGCTTAATCTTGGCTGAATCTTCATTTAAGTTCAATATGATACGATTAACATAGTGAAACTTTGTACGAGCGATTGTTACGAATTCAAAGAAATTTTTAGTTAGAAAGATTTACATGATACAACTTAGTAGAAATAATATTAAGGTTATCATTCATAAAATTGACAGTGAAATTGGGATTTTATTAAAATTTCATTATGTCATTGCGTTTCTCGTGTTTGTCATATCAAGGCTATAAAGACTGCAGAAGTTGAAAACAATTTTCTATTTATGAACATGAATATTATTATATCTATCTAGAGTTTTCTTTCATAGTTCAACGATTGTAGATGCAACTTAATCAATATGAACATAATTCGATTCATATCAATTGTAAAGGAAGCACATAAACAATTTGTCTCAACACCAAAATTTAAAAATAGCCCAAACCTAACAAAAAGGAAGATTACAAAGCAATCAGTTGAATATACCTGAAGATTTCTCATAAAAACACTCTAAGTGCCAAAACAGAAAAACATTCTTCTATTCTCACCATGTATACAATTCAACTATAATTTTTTTCTTCTAATCACCTCCAATACTGATAACATTCAAAACTAACACCACTGTGACGTTCAACATACTATTAAATAAATTTCCTTCCTTCCTCGAAAAATTGATATGTAATATTATAAAAATTTAATAATGTGTTATTTAATGATGAGCAGCTGCTTTCCTCATCTGGACAAGGATGTTTCCAAGTTCTTCACGTTTCCTTTTAGCTCTAATGTGTGTGCCCAGCCTTCTCTTTGAAAACTTCAATGCACGCTTATCTTTGGAAACTTTCAACAATTCCATAGCACGTTTTTCACACGGAGCATGTCCAGTAACTTCACGAATTAAGTCTCTGACAAATTTGATATGCTTGTTTTGTCTCCCTTTGAATCTGGAGGGCAAAACGCACACCGTCTTGCTCTTTTCCCTTGCATTTTTTGCCACGCGAATTTTAGTGGTCTTGTGGCCTTTATTAAGACCAACTGCTAATTCATACCTTGGTGCCATCTTTTACCACTTACAACTTACTTCTCAAGTACTCAATTATTCATTCCTGTCAAACTCGAATGCAAAGAGCTCCATCGACCAATAACAGAAGGCGAACCCTATGAATTCGTTTCATCCACCTCGCAGTACTTAGCGAAGGCCTGCACGCGTCTGGGAGCCGGTTCCCCAAAAACCTCCAAGAAACCGCGTCGCGCGGAGGGGTCGATTTGAATTTAATTAAGTCAACCATAGCCAATTTGGCAAGATGCTCGCATTATGGAAGCTGCCGTTAATCGGATGAAGTCTGCGGTTTACGTAGGAGCAGTAGATATCACGACGCTACGAAATGTCTTGGGATCTCGACGGGGGGTTCTTCCTCCTTTTGCGCCCTCCGCTGATACCCGGCCGCCCCCTCGCGCGCCCGCCGCGTTCCCTGTTCCCCATCTTCCGCGCGCAGTATTTGACTTTCAAATGGCGCCTAGCTACTGCCGATATAGTACGTTATAACCGAGCACTCTATTTCGAGAAGCAATTCCGCTACCTGACGAATAGCCATTACCACGGTCTAACGATAACTCGATTCACGCCTGGAACGCTAGATTTTTCGAGGCGGGAGGGGCGACGGAGAGGGGACCGGCCGGGAATTTCGTATCCTTTGCCGGACACCGTGGTCCGCCAATCGTCCCGCCGCGCGATCGCCTCGACCAATTCAATGACTTGCTTCGTTTCGTGCCGGCCGTCCGGGAACGAATTTCTTTGGAATTAATTTCGAACGTCCGGAAGATGTCCGGTAAGTGAATCGAATTTTTGTGGTGCGATATTTGGGTCGGTGTATTTTGCTTTCGGATTATTGGATGTGGAGCGAAGCTTGATGTTTCGATGGCTCTTGGAATTGAAGATTTTGGATTATTCTGTGCACTTAATGGAGCAAGTAGAAATAAGCAGCAGGTAAATTTTGTTTGTAATAAGTATTATTGAATTATAGTTTAGGGAATTTGATATTTGAGACGTTGAGGGGGTAGAGTGCATCTAAATACTTCAATCATTTTTTTCAGACGATGATTAATAAATGATGGTGAGTGGAATTTTTATAAATTTCTATTGTTACGTAGTCTATTGAGAAATGGTAGTTTAAATATCTTTACAGCCTCCAAGAATGTTGTAACGGGAGGAGTATATAAAAGTAAAAAGGGAATCACTCTTTGCTTCTCACAGAATTAAACAAGTCCGCGATCCCTTCAACCCCCAAAAAGAGGAAAAAGAATATGTGTACCGTTGTAAACTCAATCACAAAACGTTTCACTCGGATGTCAGCCGATCCGCGTAATCTCGGATTAATTAAAATTTCCTGCGAGCCTGGGTTCCTGTGCCCGCGGATATCTGACAGGCACGTTGATTTAGGAGTTCAATAAAAATTCCAAAATGGCGTGGGAGTGTGAACCGCGGTGCGCTTTTCCTGGCTCCTTACCGAGAATATAAAAGCGGGGCGGCAAGCGTCATACACTTGTCCATAAAAGTACCAGTTTGACTAAAAGCTTCTGCCGTTCCGTTTATTAATGTGGCGTTTATGTTATAATACACGAGTAAACACTGCAAACGGACAAACGAAAATAAAATGGAGAATTTTTTAATAGAATACCCAAAGAATGATTCAAAGAAACGTAATTTAAGTGAAATTTTCCTTGAAATTTTACTTAAAACTTCAACGAGACTTTTTAGTCCATATATTATTTAAAATGGAATCCATTTATAATGGAAATATTGTATCAACGGATAATTGATTAAGATGTTAACTAAGGATAATGAATTAAGATATCAAATAAGGATAATTAATAAAATATTAATTAGGATATTATTCAATTTCAATGTTAAATATGCTTGATACATGGGAGAATAATTTGTACTCATTTCGTTAAGATCGAATAACACGCGTCTGAGATCGTTCGTTTCCATTGGAAATATATCGATTTTAAATACTTTCGTAGACCGGCGTACATTCACCCGTTTGATTTCATTTTCTCCTCTTTTTTTCGTTACTCCACTCCTGGCCCATTTTTATATTCACTGATAAGCTAATGAATATTCACGAGTCCCGATCGGTGGGCTCGTCGCCTCGTTTAATATTTACTCGCTTTTAATGTCTCGGTGATCGTGAACGAGGCGTCCTGCACTCCCGCCGAATTTATTATTCCCCGGCCAATTTCTCGCGTGTTATAATCATCGGATAATTTTTGCGCGTCTTTCGCATCGTCGAAATTCTCGGGCACGTTTTGTTCTTTGATAAACGAATTCTTTTGTGGGATACTCGTTATAATTGTTTCACCTATCCGCGCGTTTCGAGAATCTGATTTTGAACCTATAACAATTCACGCTCGTTTCATTTAGAAAATTAAGGTTATTCTGTTTTTCGTGCTTAAAGCGGAAATGAATTTTTTTCTGTTCAAGTTAGAAGAATCACTTTAATATCCAATGTAGTTTGAAGGAAAAGAATCAATCGGATTTCTTTTATAAAATATCGATATTGATTTAAGATTAAAATTAAAGTATGGATATAGTTTTAAAAAATTCAATCAGGATGTTAACAGCTGTGTAAAATATAGATGCAGTTGGTATTCTCTCTTTAATGAAATTGAACCTCACATTCTGTTTCCATTCTTGGTAATTTATAATTAACTTATTTTCAGATTAAAAAAATGTCATTTTCATATTCATATTCATAGAAACTATTCATAATTTCCACAGATACAGTTGACACATTATTCACCAATCACGTGTCAGCTCAATTAAATAATACAAGCAACAATTTTTATATCTAATCGAGTACCTATAAACTTCTAAATAATACATATTTTGAAAATGCATATAATTTTAATATATTCGTTGATATTAAGTTAACACGATAATAATCGTTAATTCTTAAATCCGAAATAACTTAAGAATACTTAACACAAAGAGGATACATCGTTACTAAACATAATTAGCTAGCAAAATGTCTATTCATTCAAATTTCAATATCACAATATTTCCATTTAAATTCTTCGCTTTCTAAGTAAAATTTGACGTAAGAATGTATACAAAAATAGAGATCCAACCCAATAATCCCAAATTTCAAGGGAACAACAAAATTATGTAAAAGAAGGTATCAAAATGGACGATTACCAGATGGTTCGAGTGTCGTCAATGAATTTATCGTTCCAAAGTTAGCGCAAAAATGGCCGTTCTCGCGTGCGTCTGAATTTCTTCGAGGCAGTAAAAGTAATGCACGTTACAGTGTACACAGGGTGGTTGCCGTGGAAGGGGCGAAGTTAACACTGAAGCGCAGAAGCACAGCCGCACGCCGGAGACATTAACGGTAGGACATTGTCAGGTGTTCCGCGAGAACGGAATACTGCAGTGGAGTGTGGCCGGGCATTTCTGCGGCGAACGTTCCCGACCGCGAGCAACCGCATTTTCTCGGGGCAACGGTATAAGAGAAATTTGCACGTAAAAAGGAAGCCTTGTTCGGGGCGAACTGTGTTGCATCCTTTGAGCGTATTGGAACGCGGGGAACCATAATCGCGGCGATCCAGCGATCAATGAAATAAAGGGAATCCGAAGCACGTGTTGTTTCACATTTATGTGTAATTTCGAATTCCATATATTCATTGAGGAAATATTTATTGTTCCTTATCCACAGGTTTCTTCATCTTCTTGACGAAGCTTTCGATGCTGTAGTATTTTATTTTAATATGGAGCCCGTTATTGTTGTAAATATGTATTTCGATTAGATACTTTTTACGGTTAATAAATTGGAATAAATTTTTGGCTTTTTTATTGTTTGTCTGACTCGTGATGAAAATTTTCAATTGAATTTGAGAAGTCTAAGTATTATTTTCTTTAAATATAAATTAAGTATTTATAAATTCTATTATTAAATTAAATATTACTAACTTTTATTATCAATCGTTAACCTTTGGAGTAATAGACATAGAACACGTATCGAAATTCTTTCTTTTCCTAATAGATCATTAACGATAAGTTGTATCGATCATAGTTAAGAAATAAATCATAGGGCTAAAGGTTAATGATACTGAGGATAACACGATGATAACACTTTTCTCAGTAAATGTTGGTTCTTAAACTTCGACTGCGTTGGATCATTTAGCTTCCAAAAATTCAGTGATTATGACTGAAATAAATTAACACCGTCGGCAGTACATTTATTAAATTATGCAAGACTAATCCTTCGAACACATTCATCCTACACTGAAACGCGTCACGAATACGATTTATTGTAACTAATGAAATATATAATAACGTCGATAAAATCTAAATACCTCGTCGAACATCTCAAAATTTACAATTCGCAGTACAAGCTTCTGCGATAACACAACTATATAAAGACGAGAATCGTGCTACATTGCATGCTATTCTACAGCAACAGAAAAACAGTAGGACAGAAAAAAGTAAGAGTAAAAACTTTCCAAGGAAAACGAACAAAGATATTTATTCGTAACCGATACCATTCTCCATGCAGGGAACAGCTCTCTACAGTGAAAAAAGACTCGTTTGGAAACAGTTAATAAATAAAAAGGGAGAAACGCATCTACTCAAGCGGACGATCGGCCGGATACGCGTTGCGCGCACAAACGGTAAAAATCTCTGTTCAAAGACGCGGAGCTATGGATAAATAGAAAAATCGGTCGATCCGTAAACTCACCAGAACTTTCACCATGTATACAGGCCAGCACTAGAATCCAGCCCGGTCGAATCGGCAGCCAGGCAGTTTAAAATTCCCAGTGCAACA